TCACTTGTTTATGATTGGCAGTGTACAGTGGCAGCTTCCTGGCCTGATAGCTCAGGTGGGTTCAGACTGGGAACCGAACACGCCTGAGCTCATATCTAATCAACACAAAAAGATTGTCTAAATACAAGAGTTGTGAATTGTTCCTTGAATCTTGGTGTGCTTTCTGTATTTCTTCCACATCTGTGCAGTAATCCAGTGTGAAACCTTTCCTCTGTGCAGGAGCTTCCTGTAATAAAGACCGGTCACTGCTGCTCTCTCTCCTAGTGCAGGGTGACTGGTCTTGTCTCCTCCCCCTCCCAGTAGTTTTTTGCAGGCAGCCTGTAGTGGGTGGGTCCTGCTGGTCCCCTCCCACACCTCTACTCTCTGCACAGGCTATGTACAGCACTATGTTTATGTGGTAATAACTAGGGTTGCAAAGGCATTTGGTGCACACAAAGTGGATTTACATCCTTTCTAGCTATTGAGAAATATATTTAAATGAAAGTATTTATGCCCCAGGTTCTGCTGTAGCCTCCCTGGCGGTATTCCCGAGTGTAGCTCGGGGTAAAGTTTCAGCACCACAAGCGGTAACCCCGAGCTACACTCGGGCTTACCATGCGGCGCTGCTCCGCGATCCCTCGGTCACTTACCTTGTCCTGCGCTTCTGCGATGTCCCTCCTGCAGTGTCCCCTGTAATGTAATCCGGCGGATGCCGGCATCTGTAATCTAGGTTCCGTCCCCTGCGAGCGTCGGGACGTACAGGGGATGAAACGGCAGGAAATTTAAAATGACAAAAAGTGACATTCACTAAAATCCCTAAAATCACATAGTAAAACATTACTGTATCAAACCATTTCACATACATTTTGTCCCGAGTGCTTTGTCCTGTCCCCTGCCTGCATTTTTACTGTTCTTTCTGCCTGGAAACTGAGAAACGTCCATGGCGTCCAAAAAGCGTCCCTTTAGGTCAAAAGCGGTTTTAGACCGGCTAGAGAACAGTGATAGTAAATTAGAACCACTTGCAGAATTGAGTGATAATGATTCGTGGGGAAATTCGTCATCAGACACTGAAAACGATTTTGCGACTTTGCTCAGTGATGTGTGAACTTGGCGCTCTATTTCAAATTTCAGTGTTTTTGGTTTGATTATATTATTGAATTAAATTTATTATTATTATATTATTATTTTTTTATGATTATTTATTAAATTATAATTTATGATTTTGTGTTTCAAGTTTTATCTTACCCGGAATGTTTACTAGACTCTTGTTCAGACAGATTTCAGTGAGTTATTCCTAAAAATTACAGGCCTACAATATAAAACGCCAAATTTCCATGCAAAATAATGGTACCGCTTTCAGCAGCAAAAATCTGAAATAATCATACCGCCAGGGAGGTTAAGCAGTCTGTATAAAAAGATCTCTCCTGCTGTACAGGTCTACGCACGTCATAGGGCTATCCAGGCAACTCACAACATAGCTGTATGCGTTAAAAATGTCCTAAGATTAGGAGAACCCTAACAAACATAGAAAACATAAACATAAATAATTCAATATGATTACAGCCATGCTGCAGAAGCCTGCTAAAGTTAGTTAGGGACACTCCAGCTTAAGGTAGGTTTCCTACATACGTTAGTATTCAACTTGACCACATTGAAAAATACTAAGTCAAACCCATCCTTTCCAGTCATAAAGAATCTGTTGCTTGTTTTTGAAAGGTGATGGGCTTGCATCCAGTAATACACATCTTACTCCACATCCCATGACAGCTTGTGGTTCAGTACTCACTCTCTAGAGCTAGAATGTGGGAATCCTGCCAGCGGCCATGTCCCATCATGAAGATGTGGTCACTGGTCCTGCAGTAAGTACAGTGCAGACATGATAGGAAGCAAGAGAGGTGGTAACCTTGACTGGTTGGAGACCAACATAAAGAATGGCTTTGTTGGCTATCACAAATGGAACTGGCAACTGAGATTAGTATTCCTGGATGCAAGCCCATCACTTTTCAAAAACAAGCAATAGATTCTTAATGTAGGCAAAGCACCGATTCACTTTAAGGGGGTAATCATTCTCCAATTTGTTAAATTACAACTAGAAAAAAAGAGACCATCACGTGTCAGTGGGCAGGCTCTGACCTATGCCAACACCCCCCAGGTGGCCCCAGGTTGTAATTTCCCATCCAGGTGCTGTCATTTCCCTGGAGACATCTATAGATGCAAGAGTTTAGATCTCTATTATATGACAAAGGCAGTCTTGCACAGATCATAAAGCAAATGCTATGGGGGTGAATTTACTAAGAGCAAATAAATTGTGCAGTTGCGCTAATTTTCCCCAGGACTTAGGCTACGTTCACACTAGCGTTGTGTGCTGGCGGCAGAGAGGCGTTTGGGAGGCGTTTTTACCGCTTCCCAAACGCCTCTGCCAATTCTGCACATTACAGCACATGGTGCTGTTCTAATGGGAGCGTTTGCGTCGCGTCGCATTGCGTCGCGGCAAAACGGACGCCTCTGGTCGAGTCAGGAGGCTTTGAAGCCTCCTATTCTCCTCTATGGTGCCACTCCGCAAACGCCCGGCCGGCGTTTGCGGTGCGGTTGCGACGCAGTTGCGGGGCGTTTGCGGAGCAATAACACCACTCAAACTGCATTATAGGCGTTTGTGGGGCGTTATTAACGCTCGGCAAACGCCTAGCAACCGCCGCTAAACCGCACATGCGGCGTTTGCGGAGCGTTTGCCGAGCGTTAAAAAACGCTCCACAAACGCCGGACCAATGCTTGCCAAACGCTTTAGGGGCGTTTGGCAAGCGTTGGTAAAACAGCCAAGTGTGAACGAGCCCTTAGTGAGCTTCCCTTTATAAAGAACACCCTATCAGGTGCAAGAAAAAGTAAAAAAGATCAGCATTTTTGCTTGCACATAATTGGATGATGGAAATCAGCAGAATTTCACTGTATTTACTAAGCTATGAGTGCAATTGCACTTGCAAAATACAGTCTATTAGCCTTTAGTAAATCCACCCCTTTGTGTTTATGCGTTAGTCTTTCCCATAAAACAGAGATTGTCAGATGTATATGATATTGATATGTAATTATATTATGAAGGGCAAATATTTATATGCCCTTATTTAGAGGCTCCACATCCAAACAGCACCTAGACACGTGTGTGTCAACATGACCTTAGAAGGCTTCAATAATAGAACATCTGAAAGTAGGTAGAAATGGGGTAAAGTAACAGGTCAGCTGTTAACAATACTATAAAAAGTGACTCCACCGGCATCAGATTCCAAAACACACACATAGATTGGAAATTAATGTTGCAGGCAGTTAAATATTGAATGATATTGGAGCCTGTCTGGGCATTATTGGGCCAAAGGGGAGAATTCTTTGATGGACTTGCCTATTAAAATGGAAAAAACCTACTGTTTATTAATCTCATTCTTCAAATCCGTGCTTGAACCCATGCAGGTATGATGCTCTTACTTTATGTTATGTTATTGTTGCTGAACCCAATAAAGTCTTTTAATCTAATTCTTTATCCTTGCTGGAACCCATGTTATGTTATTGTTGCTGAACCCAATAAAGAAATATATGCTTAAAAAAAGCCCAACTTAACCCAAAAGAAAAAAAGGAAAAAAAACTCAATACCCTTGGCAACCAATCTTATGCAGGTCTAGGAATTCTGATTGCACGCCTGAATTTGATCCTTTTATCCAGCTCTTCCAGGACAAGGTCCTCTGATACCCCAGGTGAAGATGTGGGTGAAGATACCCAAATGCACCTACCTTCTCCTCCAAACTGATGGAACAAGCACATACAGTGACTTGCGCAGGGTACACAAATGACAGTGGCTGCTCACCGGGCCTAGGGGTTCCACCCCTTTGGGCAGGGAAAGCCACAATGGATGGGGGGATATTGTTAGAGCAGCGGGACTTAGTCATAATCATCATAGTAAAACAAACTTGGGTTTCTAAATATAATTATACAATTCATTAATATTATCATAACAAACATAAGTTCTTCTTTCTGGAAGTAGTTTATAACTCATCAACTCATGCCATCATGAACTTATCAATTTATTACCAATAACCTCATTGCATGGAAAACACATCAGTAGGTGACGTTGAGGTGGTCTCCTCTGCATAAAACAGATTGATAAACACATATTGCTTTTTTTTATTCCAGAGTTATCTATTTTCCTTTCTTTTTTCTGACTTACTGTGAAGTGGAGAATGAGCCATTTGGGAGTCAGCACACAGGGGTGGTTTGATGTGGGCAAGTGCATCTGTAGCTAAGCACTGCAGAGGCAGGAGAAGTTCCTGCCCCAGGAGCTTCCCACCTCCACAGCTGTGTGTTGTAGGAAATGGCGTGTCCTGCCCCAGAACCCCCCCAGCATGGTGTCCTTGGAGATTAATGAACCAGCGCTTGGGGATGGACTCGATGCAGGCTGCAACCACATTAAGAATGTCCTGGAACAATCACACCTTGCTGCCCTCAACAGACCAGGGGAATCCAAATATACTGAATGAGGAAAGAACAAACAGAGGGCGCTCAGGCCTAGTGCATTACCATAAAAAATGTTTAATAAGAAATAAAATAGGTGTTGTACTCACAAACGACAATATAGTCAAGGCACATCATAAAAGAACAGCTGGGTCAACACCGTGCTGAGCAACAATCCGTAATGGGGAATGTAGACATCCAATAGGCTGACGCGTTTCGAGGACTTGCCTCTTTGGGCTCTGAGGAAGAGCACTAATGCACTAGGCCTGTGCGCCCTCTCTTTGTTCTTTCCTTGTCCTTGGAGATTGCAGGGTGTCTCTTGCCCTGGAAGCCCATCATACTGTCCTACATGGGTGCCTCTCTTGCTCCAGAAGCGCCCCCTCCAGCACGATGTCCTGGGGTGGTGTCTCTCCTGCATTCCACCATTATTGTGGTTTCCTTGATTTTTGCAGTTCTGGTTGTTGACTTTGATAGTTACTATAGATTAATAGCAGATAATAACAAATGGTGTAAAATCTGACTTTTCTCTTATGCTCCCAGATCTGGTGGACGCTGTGAACATCACCAGTCACATTCAGCACATCCACGGCACATATGGACAGTCGGCTCTCCTCTCAGTGCAGTACAGCAGCTCGAGCAGCGACAAACCTGTGGTAAAATGGCAGCTGAACAGAGAGAAACCTATCACTGTGGTGCAGTCAGTGGGCGCAGACATCATAGGGAACCTACGTGCAGACTACAAGGATCGGATACATGTTTTTGAGAATGGCTCTCTGCTAATCAGTAACCTCCTTCTGTCCGATGAGGGGACCTACGGGGTGGAGGTCTCCATCACCGATGATACGTTTACAGGAGAAAAGACCATCAACCTCACTGTGGACGGTAGGCGGTAAAGGGTCGGTCCATCCAAAATGTATATTTAAGACACAGATGAACCATAGTGGGCCGAGTCAGCCCTTGCCATATATGTTTTGGATACTTTAATAGTGAAATCTCCCATAATTTCCAACTTTGTTCCTGTCCACCTGATAGCTTTGGGTGTTACATGTTACATCCTTCAGAATGTAAAATAGATAAAAATTCAGCAGGGATTGTGGGTACCACTCATAATGGGCACAGAAGGTGTGCAGACCCAGGAACTCAGTGCAGGGATGGTGGGAAGCCCTCATAATGGGCACAGCAGGTGTACAGACCCGGGAACTCAGATCAGGGATGGTGGAAGCCCCCATAATAGGGTGTACAGACCTGGAACCTCAGCAGCTGTGTAGACCCAGGGACTCAGGGCAGAAATGGTAGGAGACCCTCATAAAAGGCAGATCAGGTGTGCAAACCCTGGAATTCAATACAGGGATGGTGGGAGCCATCATAAAGGGCACAGCAGATGTGCAGACCCAGGAACTCAGTGCAGGGGTGGTAGGAGCCATCATAAAGGCACAGCAGATGTGCAGACTCAATAATAATAAAGATATTGTTTTTGTAATGGTTACAAGAATCTAAGGAATCTTTATCAAACATTTGTGCAGTGAAGATCCCATGGGTAGTAGGACTACAGGGGTAGTAAGACTGCAGGGTGTCTTTCTGAGAGCATACTGACAATAAAATTCACATCAGTGGAGTACTCATTTTAAAATATGGCCTTTATAGACATCACTGGTAGCAAAATCTGAGCACAGGAGCAGGGCATTACATCTCCGGAGCCTATTGGTAGAGAATTCTGAAGCGCCCACCACCCCCCTGTTAAAACCAATTTTTTTTTCTTTATAAAATATTTTCATATAAATATTTTTAAATGTGTAAAGGGGAATGCTGTGGACTTTGATATAAAGGGGAACACTGATGTAAGGGGGTTTCTAGTCATCAGAGCCCCCCCTTACCTCAGAGGCCTCAGAGTTCTCCTTTACATCAGAATCTGCAGGGTTCCCCCTTACATTGAAGGGGGTACCTGTGCAGACCCTGATGTAAAGGGGAACTCTGATATAATCAGGGGCGGACTGACCATTTGGAAACTCGGGCACTGCCCGAAAGCCCGGGGTCAGTAGGGGACCCTATGAGATGCCCCTGGTACCTTTTTCATAGGCTTTTTTGAGTTTGGGCAAGGACACAGGGGCCCCATGATCCCCTATTGCCTGGGGGCCCCATGAGTTGTCAGTCCACCCCGGATGTAATGGGGACATTGCGGACCGTGATGCAAATGGGAACTCTGAACTAAGGTGGCCTCTGCTCACTAAATCCACCCCCCCCCCCTTACATCACAGTCGACAGAGTTCCCTTTTACATCAGGGTCTGCAGAGAGGGAGGGCTGAAAGGAGGGCAGTGAGAGAGGGGGGGGGGGGTTGAGAGAGAGGGGGGTGAGGGGGGAGATGGGAGAGAGATCTTTGGCCTGTTCCTATCTGCAGTACCTCCTCTGCCCCTCTTTCCCAGTCTCTGTCTGCGTGTAGGTCTGTGAATGATGCCCAGAACCTGACAGCCAGCAGCAGGCAGGGACCTGTCTCCTTCTTGATTGGGGGGTGTTCTGATCCTTCCAGTGGCTCCCTGACAGCCTGTGCCTCCCGCTCATTTTCAATCTTTGGGCCTCCAATCCGCCTGTCTTCCCTTCCGGGAAGCAGACCTCACTGTTGAAATTGGAGCAGAGAGGTGGTTGGAGGAGTCCTGGTTCAGGGAGGTTCCGGGGATGCTGTGCTTGCCTATTCAGGGGTCAGGGTGGTGGTGGAGCTCTTCACCCTACTGGGCTCTCAGGCCTAGCTGTCCTCACCTTCCTTGCGGCCTTCATCTGCGGGGCTGCCTGCATACTGAGGACGTCGCTATTGTTGCCACACAGCCTGCAGCTGCTTGCACCCCCGAGCCCATGGAGAGAGACAGAGGGGCACAGAATTCTCTTTCTCTCTACACACAGGCACGGTGGGTGCCCACTACACACAGACATGGTGGGTGCCCGCTACACACAGGCACGTTGGGTGCCCGCTACACACAGACACGGTGGGTGCCCACTACACACAGACACGGTGGGTGCCCACTACACACAGACACGGTGGGTGCCCGCTACACACATGCACGGTGGGCAGCTAATGGAAAATCCAGCCCTGCACATGAGCCCCCAAGGATAAGAAGCAGGATATAAAGGTTTTAGCAAACAGAATCAGAAAAATCACCAGCCACTTGCAATAAAACCTTTGGTGTCATTCAGTGATCATAATAAATAAAATGCAGAAATTTACCTTTAGCTGATCTGCATAAATATACAGACACGTGGACAATGATTATTGGCAGCACTGAAAATTTCCCTGATGTGTTTGGCCTCCGTGTGCCCATATATCCAAATGAAATGGCAACCAGAGAATCAGAATTACCTGATGTGTGTAGACAGAGACTCTATGGAAAGCTTATCTTATGCAGGCCATAGACGGGTTGAAAATTGGCCGCTTAAAAAAAAAAAAAATGAAAAATCGGTCGTTCGATCGGCTGACGTTACCACCAACAGTAAAAAAAAATCGGCCGATTTTCGTCCCGTCTATGGACAGAATTTAACCCCATAATTACTTCTGTACCTTGCAGAGACAGGGGAGCACACAGGGGAGCAATACATAAGAATAATAATAAGAATTCCAGTCCGCTATTATATTTTATATGAAAAGTCTTGCGGTTGCAACAAATGTATCCATTTGTATCCATTTTGGATACAGATGTTTTTATTTGGATACAAATAGATACATTTGTTGCAACTGCAAAACTTTTTCATATAAAATATAATAGTGGACTGGAATTCTTCTTCTTCATTTTCTTCTTCCTGCGCAGATTTTTTATCGGAAAAATGATCGGCCGATTTGCCCATCATTGCCGGAAAAATCGGCCGATCGTCAAAATTGGGCGCAAATTTTCCAACATGCCTGATGAAAAAAATGTGCAAAAACCCCGAAAAATGGCCAACCAATTAACCCACTTTCAGCCGAAAAATCAGCCGATTTTCGACCCGTCTATGGCCAGCATTTCTGACACCAATGTGCTTATAGCAGCATGTAAGATAAGGTAGTTGTAGTTAGTTGGCTGGCCACTAGATACAGTATTTCTGTTCTCATTATAGCCTGTGAAGTGGAAAGTTAGAAGCAAGCGATAGCTTCCCTTTTAGCTAGAGCCCTTCTAGTTTTGGGGGGGCACACTCTCTCTTGGGGCATAGAAGCTAAACACCCCACACCTGTGAGCATATAGCCAGCACACTTAGGCCCTGGACAGGACAGGAGGCCGCATGGAGTGGACCTGTATGCAGGAGGAGCCAGCTGTAGACATTCTGACCCTGATGGAGGTGAGGGATAGGACGGATTGCAAAATGCCTCTCAGGCCAGGCTGGAGATCCCCATATAAGGCTGCTTCTCTGAAGGGTTCCCTGGAGAAGTGTACCCAGCTAGGAGCTGTCTACAGAGAGTACCTTTGACCCTGGTCAGAGGAGAGACTGTAGGGGGCTGGCTGTGAGGTGCTACATGTGCTTTCACTTGCTACTACTGAACACTCATGTGTTCAGACCAGAGGCTCTTCATGCCTCTTGTGTGTGGAACAGGTCCAGGGAATCCTCCAGCCAGCTACCTGGATTATCAGAGACAGTCTACTTCCTTGTGAGAGACTTTTGATGAAGAAAAATACAAGTAGTTGTTTGCACTTTACTACTCTTGAAGAGTTTCTCTGAGTGTCTCATAGACTGGACTGTGCTGCCATCTAGCGCCAGTGTATTGGGAAACTGCTCCTCAGGCAGCTCATGTTATTGTAATAGTTTAATTGCCTGTTATTTGTTCTGTGTTTATTGCATACCCCCGTTACCATCTTGTTTGCATGGTCAATTTATCCTGCTTTCATTCAGTAAATCTTAAATTGCACATTGCTGTTTCTTTACTCATTTAGATGATACCTTTACATTATAATAGTTTTATATGTATATTGACTGAAAGACAAACTAAGCTCAACTAACACGTTTTAAGCAGTTACAATGAAAGATGTTATGGTTTACTGCAGTGTTTCTCAACCTTTTTCCAGTCAAGGCACCCTTTAAAATTCTGCACAATCTGAAGGCACCCCATTCTAAAATGTAAAAAACTATTCTACACACATCCAGTACACCCAATGTTAGAGGTGATTTATTCTTCCAAAGCAAATACACCTTTGTACACTGGTACTGACTAGTATTCCAATGTGTCTCTGTGTTTCTGTCCCTCACTCTGCTAATGTGACCCCAATGCTGACAGAGAGGGGCAAACAAGGATGATGTCCATGCACCCCACGTCCTCCTTATCAACTGATGTCATTGGTTGTCAGGATGCTGGCAGATAGAAGGTCATAAAAGTGCACAATAAAAACCTGTAGCTTTGTGTTCTAAAAGGCAGGTTTGATCTACCTGCTGGCTTGTATACAATTTTTGGTCATTTTGCCAAGGCACCTCTGAAGAAGCCTGAAGGCACACCAGGGTGCCTGGACACCCTGGTTGAGAAAGGCTGGTTTACTGTATATAATTTACTAGCAGGATCAACAAATAATAAAACTATGTTACTGTATCCTGTAGTGACATGGAGGTCAGCAGGTTCACCACTGAGATCTGTGGGGGTCCCAGGAAATTGACACTCCCCCAAGTGTCAGTTTCTCAGCAGACTTCAGGGAATCATTGCTCAGTAAGGGTGCAATGTTCAGCAATACAGGCGACAGGAGGGGTAAGTATTGATGTGTAGAAGTGGAAAACCCAGTCACTCCTGCGCTTGGGGATGGACTCAATGTCATTAAGACCACATATGGAAATACTTGGGATATGCACGCCTTGCTGCCCTCAAAGAACCGGGGGAGTCTAAAGTACTGAATAGAGAAAAACAATTGGAAGGCGCAACGGCCTAGTGCATTACCTTAAAAATGTTTAATGAATGTAAATAATAAGTATTATACTCACAAATGATCAATAAATAAAAGGCACGTCATAGTAGGCTCTGAGGAAGAAGCTAGTCCTCGAAACGTGTCACCCTTTTGGATGTCCAGAGTTCTCACTACAGATAGACACGCAGTGTGAATTGGACAGAGCTGTTTCTTTATAATGTGCCTTTTATTTATTGATCATTTGTGAGTATAATACTTATTATTTACATTCATTAAACATTTTTAAGGTAATGCACCAGGCTGGTGCGCCCTCTGTTTATTTTTCTCTATGGGGTTAGTATTGAGTCTCTTCTTTCACGGAATATGCATTGCTGAAACAACTTACTTATATGACAGGGTCACTTTAAAGTGGAAAAAAGCAGTGACAGGCAGGATTTTTATGACAGAAGAGATCCTTTTGGTCTCTTCTGGCATAATTGCTTCTCTCTCTCTGTCAGTGTTAATGTACTCTGAGCCATGGATGTGCAGCTCAGTGTACATTTATGGCAACTGCCTGTGCTGTGATGATATGACTCCCATGCGTATGCATTGGAGTGACGTCATCATGGCCTGGCCAATCAAGTGGCCAAACGCAGAAGAAAGACTGGGAGAGAAGAAGGAAGAATCCATGACTGGTGGGGGGCACTGACAGGGCAGCACTGAAGAGGATAGTTTGGCAGATAAGTCTGCCATAATGTGCAAATATGCTGTGTATTCTAGGATATTATGGGTATCACCTCCTGGGGGCCCATTTAGAATCCAAATACACTTTAAAGTGTTTGTGCACCCAAAAATAAAACACCTACTCCCCCAACAGGTCTTGTGAAGCTCATCATTTTGAATTGCAGGCTTGTTTTTCTTCAGTTTGTACATGTTAGAGGTTAGAACCACTTTTTGGTTTTTATTGCAGTCTGTGTCCCTACTGGGAATATTCTCCCCTCTAGGTGAGTATCATCCCAAGGACCTAAAGTGAGGGAAAACCTAATTTGTTTGAGTTCGCACTGGAGCAGAAATAGAGGAGAAATCTTCTAATAGGGACACCTTTTCTGGTGATAAACACCTAATAGTGTGTTCACACTGGCAGTGCTGGTCAGCGTTCCTCAATGCAGTGCCATTGTAAAGACAAGGCAAAAAGCCTTGTTTTGTGTAGGACCTGTTCACAACAATGCGCTGCGATCAAAAGATGTAGGCAATGCTCTGCAGCATACAGAACTAAGGCCCCATTCACACTTTACATTTTTAGTTTAGTTTTTTTGTGGTTGATTTTCATGAGATTCCATGTGTTGCATATAGGGCAGTCCATTCACTTCAATGGGCTGCCATATGTGCATTAGTCACCCAAAAGAAGCTCCTGCTTTTTATGTGACAAGCTTCATGCTATTTTTAAAGTGTGTATTTGCTGCGATTGCCGTGCAATTCTGTCGCGTGACAATTGCAGCAAAATCGCACCGCGTTTGGGGTGCCATCTAGAATTAGTGACACCCAAATGTGCATCATTCATTTTGCAGCGATTGCCATTTGATTTGGAATTGCAGGCAGAATCACAGTGATTGTGTCTGTAATTCTGGATTGCTAAGTGTGAATGGGGTCTAACACAGAAGTTACAAATAAAAGAATGAAGAAACAATGCAATGCATCATGCATTATGTGCTGTGTGTTATGAACTGTGCAGTGTGAACATGCCCTAAAAGGGGATTTCCCTTATTATGGAGAGATTTCATGATGTCACCTCTTCTGCAGTACATCCAATCAGAAAATGCTTTGCATATATTAAGAAATATGGAACGCATTCTTTGAATGGTAGCTGCGCCGAGGGACCGATGCAGCATTGCAGCCACTGTTGGTTATGTGTTAGAGAAGACACTGGTAGCTTGTGATGAGGCAGAACTCTGTTTTACTTGTGTGGCTTAAGTTGCAAACATACAGAACACATTTCAGCAGACATCTTGGTTTTGAAGAGAGAGAAGAGAGGAAGGAAGAAAGAGAACCAACCAGGTTTACACATATGCACAACTAGTAACCTTAGTGTACAGTGCCATCTACTGGTCAAGTGATATTAACATACAATACTATATATAGTACATTATAGTACATGCTGTTGCATTCCCAACAGCCACTGGCACAGGACTTGGAAGACTGCGGCGATCACTGTAGTAGTGACAAATACTCCAGTGATTCTCTGCTTCCACAGGAATCCCATAGGTATGGAATATGGATACTTACATTGGTCCAAAGTGGACCAATGTAATTATGCAAAACAAACCATACCTGGAATTCAGCTTTAACCACCTGTTGTCTACAATTGATAGTTTGTCCTAATCTCTGACTTGTTGGATCATAGTGTACTGGTGATAATTGAGCATAGTGTCTCCTTTGGCCATGTTTTGCTTTGTGTGTCACTAATTTAGTTGATAACAATGGACTGGGGTAGAAGTTGGAGTGAGGGTGTAGGTGGGGAGAAAGGGGGATGGGATGGAGAGGGGGGGTACGAGACAATTGATCCTAGGTAGGCGGGAAGTATATAATTGGCACCAAATATGATGATTTTGTCTTATGTCCTTTACCATTGTGGAGTCTCACTTTTCCCACTGTGTTCTTCATTATACAAAAGCCCTGACAGATACTGTATAAGAAGTTGTTAAGCAATTTAAACAGTCAAGTTTAATGATTCATTTTTATTTTCAATAAATGTCGACAGAAATATATCCACAAAATGTACCATTTCTATGTTCCTTGCAGTTCCAATATCCAAGCCCCGTGTCACGGTCCCGTCATCCACTGTCCTGGAGCTCGCAGAGAACTTCACGCTGAGCTGCATCCATGATAATGGCACAAAGCCCCTCTACACCTGGCTGAAGGGGGGAAAGACCCTGGCCAATGACTCCAGGATACTACTCTCCCCCGACCACCGAGTGATGACCATCTCCAGGGTCACCATGGCCGATGATGACATCTACATTTGCTTGGTGGGAAATCCCATCAGCAGTGGACGCAGCACTCCATTTAAGCTCACTGTCTACAGTAAGCAGAATACATATTTTTTATAATATAGTTTATAGTTGTTAAAGGGAATGCACGGTGATTATATATATATATATTATTGATTATGATCAGGACTATAATATACAATTTTTAGCAGTACAATAAATGCTTGAGTTTTTTTGGGGTATCTATAAAATATTGCAGAAAAGGGCAAGGATCATGCTTTTACGAGTTGCTAGTGATGCCGCACGGTGACCCAAGACAGTACAACACCTGTTTAGTTTTTTTCTCCTCAATGCCAGCATTTAAGACCTGACAAAGGGGGAGCTCTGAGCCTCCAAAACACACTGCAGTTTTCTTTTATCATTTACATGATCATTTTATCATGTTGAAAAAAAAAAACTACCAGGCTCACACTAATTTTGTAGCACAACCATCCTTTCTACATTTTCTGCTTTTTTCAGTCTAGTGGGTGGGGGTGACAATTTGCTCCCCTTAGAGGCAAGCAGAGCGCCCCTTTACTTATTGGCATGTGCAGGCTTCCTTAACTACATTCCCCACCATCCCCTAGGCTCCCATAATCCTCTGGATTCTTGGACATGCTCAGGGGATATACAGTAAATTCCAGCTCTTCCCATCCTCTGGTACTCAGAGAAGCCACACCTAATGGAACTGCAGTGACTGGGCAGGTGAGCTGCTATCAGGTGCTGGGCCTTCCAACTTTTTCATGCCATTCCATGTATCCAGTGAGTGGGCCACCAAGGAGTGCAGTCATGGAGGACACTGTGCAGACTGGCTCTGGGATATTGCCCTTCCAGTGGGGTGGCATTACCTTCAGCCACATGAAGGTACATTGCTTTGAAATAGTAATCATACCCCTTGAAATGTTCTACATTTTGTCATGTTACAACCAAAACCATAAATTTATTTTATTGGGATTTTATGTGATAGACCAACACAAAGTGGCACATAATTGTGAAGTGGTAGATAAATGATAAATGGTTTTAAAAAGTTTTTACAAATAAATATCTAAAACGTGTATTCAGCCCCTTTTACACTAAAATCTAGTGGAACCAACTGCCTTCAGAAGTCACCTAATTAGTAAATAGAGTCCACCTGTGTGTAATTTAATCTCAGTATAAATACAGCTGTTCTGTGAAGCCCTCAGAGGTTTGTTAGAGAACATTAGTAAACAAACAGCATCATGTAGGCCAAGGAACACACCAGACAGGTCAGGGAAAAAGGTGGGGAGAAGTTTAAAGCAGGGTTAGGTTATAAAAAAATATCCCAAGCTTTGAACATCTCACGGAGCACTAGTAAATCCATTATCCGAAAATGGAAAGAGTATGGCACAACTGCAAACCTACCAAGACATGGCCATCCACCTAAACTGACAGGGAGAGGCAAGGAGACCATTAATCAGAGAAGCAGCCATGAGGCCCATGGTAACTCTGGAGGAGCTGCAAAGATCCACAGCTCAGGTGGGAGAATCTGTCCACAGGACAACTATTAGTGGTGGGCTGAACAACCCCCTGTTCGGTTGGGGATCAAACATTCCACCCTACTGAAAGTTCAACCGCAAACTTCGAACAGGGACAATATACTGAGCGGTGTCACGATCGCAGCGTCAGACCCCAGCCCTTCTCACCAAACTCGTGACCGAAGGACTAGCCAATCTAAAACCGCGATGTCACGTGCGTAACAATGCCACACCCAGCTGCACCCTGCACAACGATTTTCCAGCTAATTGGACCACAACCTGTGTGCCGGCAGCCTGGGAGCGATTGTTACTGGGTCAGGTTAATTACGCAATTAACCCTTCACACTGCCACCACCTCCTTTTTGTACAGAAAAAGAGGAAACTCGGTGATATCAGTTATAACACTATAATGGTTGAGGTAATAGTCTGTATAATGCGGTTTATACAGAGAGGTTAAACAAACACAGTAGCATTCTCTTTGGAGGCAGGAATTCGTAAATTGCAATACAGAGCTATAGAAACAGTTCAACACTTTCAGAAGGAAAGATTTATTACTAAAAGGTCAAGCAGGTGCAATAAAAATATTTACAGAAAAAGATGTAACTAAGATATATATATAAAATATACAGAGACTAACAGCACAGCAAAGAGATATCAGAGAGACGTGAAAGGGTTAAGGTACTTGCCAAAGTCCTGGGTTAGCAGATCCAAGTTTCAGAGCGAAAGGGCACGGGTCGCCCCAGGTGGTACTGATGTTAGAATGGGAGACGTCTTCAACTACTTTCCTTAGGCCTGACAGCCTAATTTGTCGTTCCCCAGCAGGGGGTGTCTCTGAAGTCAAGGACCAATACCCCGTTTTGGGCATGTAGGTATGGGCGGATACCTCAACTAGAGCCAAAATCTCCCATAACTCATATTTTGGCTTATAACTTTCCATCTGCACAAGTGACATTCCACCCATGTGTTGATTATTATGCAGACACGTCTGAGGATTGATTAGATATGAATTATGAAATTATACACTGATCAGTTCCCGAGATCTACTTTTCTGCTTCCCTATGTATTCGAGACAAGGAGAGCGACCCATTAAATTGTTCATCTCCTCTTAGCCAATCTGACGATATATCTGGTTTTTATGTAAGTCTCTCATATTCCAAGATATGAGACATAGGGGAAAAATGGATTTTAACAAAGGTTATCTGGTCGTGTTTCCTGGGAATGTTCTTTGAACTCCGGGGAAAGCTTGCCTTATCTTATACGAGGTGTTAAATTGCACAGGTTCTTTGGACAGCTAGGCCCGGGCTCAGAGAGGTGTTTTATAGCTCTGGGCTCCCTGCTGGCTCTAGCCTGCCAGTGACCCACAACCAGATGTCACTGTGGCTGAACAGAGAGGAAGGGGGAGAATGGGGGGGGGGGGGGGACATGGCGAACTCTTAACCAAAATGGAGGACTGCGTCAGTCTCTGGTGCGCATGTTTGCGACAAGCGGTATCTTACTGCATCTGAGTATGTGGTAAGATACCGCTCAATTACTAAAATACCGCATGAGTTTTTATTATTAAAGCAGAGTTCCACCCAAAAGTGGAAGCTCCACTTGTTTGCCTCCTCCCTCCCTCCACTGCCATTGTTTGGCACTTTTTGGGGGGGAGCGGGTACCTGGTTTTGACAGGTACCCGCTCCCACTTCCGGCTCAGTTTACAGAGGCAAAGTGAGCCAGAAGTTCGGCCCCCTCCTTCCTCCCAGTTTCCTGGGAACCTTCACAGGTCCCAGAAGACTGCCGGACCAATCAGGATGCACAGTGCGACTCACGCATGCACAGCGGGCACCCGGCTGTGGAGCCACAAGCTGTCACAGCCTGGTGCCCACAGTTGGGATACCAGCACCGGGGAGAGGAGAAGAAGAGAAGGGACGGCACGGGTGAGCACATCGCAAGACCCTGGGACAGGTCAGTGTGTGTTTTTATTAAAAGTCAACAGCTACAGGTTTTGGGGGATCGCCCTGCCCCCTTGTGACATCAAGTCCTGTGATTTGTCAAAGCATTGCACCTGACCTGCAATGCTTTGGCCAATCACAATGCATTGTCAAGGCGAAGTGGGGCCCGGAGAGTGAACAGCCCGCCAAACACCCGAACCATTCACACACAAACAGTCCATGTTCAAGTCCAACTGACGTTCAACTCGAACATGCAGCCCATCACTAACTATTAGTTGTGTGCACTCCACAAATCTGGCCTTTATGGAACAGTGACCAGAAGAATTCGATTGTTAATAGAAAGCCATAAGAAGTTCCATTTGCAGTCTGTGAGAAGCCATGTGGGGGACACAGCAAACATGTGGAAGAAGGTGCTCTGGTCAGATGAGATCAAAATTGAACTTTTTGGCCTAAATACAAAACGCTATGTGTGGCGGAAAACTAACACTGCCCATCACCCGAACATCCCCACTGTGAAATATGGTGGTGGCAGCATCATGTTGTGGGGATGCTTTTCTTTAGCAGGGACAGGGAAGCTGGTCAGAGTTGGTGGGAAGATGGATGGAACCAAATACAGGGCAATCTTAGAAGAAAGCCTGTTAGAGTCTGCAAAAGACTTGAGACTGGGGCGGAGGTTCACCTTCCAGCAGGACAACGACCCGAAACATCCAGCCAGAGCTACAATGGAATGGTTTAGATCAAAGCATATTCATGTGTTAGAATGGCCCAGTCACAGTCCAGACCTAAATCCAATGGAGAATCTGTGGCAAGACTTAAAAATTGCTGTTCACAGATGCTCTCCATCCAAAATGACAGCGCTTGAGTTATTGTGCAAAGAAGAATGGGCAGAAATGTCCCTCTCTAGATGTGCAAAGCTGGTAGAGACATCCCCAAAAAGACTTGCAGCTGGAATTGCAGCAAAAGGGGGTCCTACAAAGTATTGACTCCGGGGGGCTGAATACAAATGGACGCCACACTTGTCACAGATTTATTTGTAAAAAAGTTTGAAAACCATTTATCATTTTCCTTCCACTTCACAATTATGTCTCAGTAAAATACATTTACATTTTTGTTTGTAACATGACAAAATGAGGAATATTTTAAGGGATATGAATACTTTTTCAAGGCACTGTACATACCAAAGACTCCTCCAACTTCACCTTTGTAAAACTTGCTTGGGGAACCTTTCTACCCACTAGATGAAATAACAGCTACAGTCAGCCTCCTAGTGGACAGCTGATACAACTCCATTTCTAAAGAACTGCAAACAATTATTTGTTTTAATCTGTACCTTTCTGATACTCTGTTATACACCCATTCTTTACCTTGGAAACCACTAATCAACTTATTCACTCCCTGGTTATATCTTGCCTTGACTATTGTAACTCCCTCCTCATTGGCCTACCTCATCGCAGGCTATCCCTTCTTCAGTCTATCATGAATGGTGCTGCTAGACTCATCCACCTTACTAACCATTCTGTATCTGCCACCCCTCTCTGCCAATCCCTCCACTGGCTTCCCATTGCCCAACGAATAAAATTCAAAACATTAACAATAACATATAAAGCCATTTGTAACTCTGCCCCGAATTACATCACCAATCTTGTCTCCAAATATCACCCAAACTGTCCTCTCCGCTCCTCCCACCACCTCCCGCTCTCTAGCTCCCTTGTCTCCTCCTCCCATGCTCATCTCCAGGACTTCTCCAGAGCCTCCCCCATCCTCTGGAACTCTCTACCCCAATCTATCAGACTATTGTCTACTCTGCCTACTTTTAGACGATCTCTGAAAACCTATCTCTTCAGGCAAGCCTATCCTGCCTTCAGCTAATAATGGAATCTTTTATTCCTTCTACCAGTCCATTCCCCACAGTTACTACCTTTTGTACCACCAGCCCCTCCCTCTTAGATTGTAAGCTCCAAGGAGCAGGGCCCTCCTAACCCTCTTGTATTGAACTGTATTGTTGATGTATTGTCTCCCATTATATTGTAAAGCGCTGAGCAAACTGTTGGCGCTATATAAATCCTGTATAATAATAATAATAATAATGTTGTGCTGCCACCTAGTGGTCAAGTGTTAAAATTATTCCTGAGCACGCCTGTTACTGAAATAGCTTTCCAGTAATTAAAGTGTTACTAAACCCCGAACCCTGCATTCACTATATCTGGTCTCCCCAGACCCTGCATTCACTATATCTGGTCTCCCCGAGACCCTGCATTCCCTATATCTGGTCTCCCAGGACCCTGCATTCACTATATCTGGTCTCCCTGGACCCTGCATTCACTATATCTGGTCTCCCAGGGCTCTGCATTCACTATATCTGGTCTCCCCGGACCCTCCATTCACTATATCTGGTCTCCCCGGACCCTGCATTCACTATATCTGGTCTCCCTGGACCCTGCATTCACTATATCTGGTCTCCCCGGACCCTGCATTTACTATATCTGGTCTCCCCGGACCCTGCATTCACTATATCTGGTCTCCCCGGACCCTGCATTCACTATATCTGGTCTCCCCGGACCCCGCATTCACTATATCTGGTCTCCCACAGTACACAGAACATGGAAATGCAATTATTTTAGTAAATATAAACTAATAAATACCTTTTCTCATCAGCAGTTAGAGCGGTCTTGTGACTTCAGCTGAACACAGGTTAAAGGTTGTAGGAGTTCTCTTTCTTCTCTAGGAGGATGCAGAACCCCTGACCCTCTGTCTGGGCAGTGTTGATTGGCCCTGTGCTGATCACATGCACTCTCCCAAGAAAAAAAAAAAAAAAAACCTCCAGGGGCGGACTGACCATTCGAACACTCAGGCACTGCCAGAGGGCCCGGGGTCAGTAGGGGGCCCCATAAAATGCCCCTGGTACCTTTTTATAGGCTTTTTTTGGGTGTGTTTTGGGTGTGGGCAAGGACACAGGGGTCCCATGATCCCCAATTGCCCAGGGGCCCCATGAGTTGTCAGTCCGCCCCTGAACCTCTCTAGCAATACATACTAAACTGAGCATGTGCATGTGGCTACGGGTTCAGTCTGTCTTATCAGGGGACATTTGAACAAGAGAAGGGGCAGAGAAGACAGGATCAAACGGCCTTTTTACACAATGCAGAGGATTAACCCCTTAGGTTCCACGGTGAGTATGACAAGCATGCTTTACTATATACACAGACTGATTTTACTGTTGTGGGTTTAGTAACACTTTAAATAGTATTCTCTGTTCAGAGCTATTGCATACCTTCCTACCAATCTATCTGTATTGTCCATTCATCCTGCAGTCATTCAGTACACACCAGGTTGTTGATCATTTGGCCATGACATTACAGCTGCTGGGAATCCCACTGCAGTACATTTGCTGCTGTTCCCAGTATAATATGTATGGCAGTAATGTGCAACATTTTTCTTTATGCAGGAAGAAGCTCTTTGTACATCGTCCTGTCTATGGGAGGAATATTTTTACTGGTTACCTTGGTAACAGTCTGCGCTTGCTGGAAACCATCCAGAAAGTACGTGACAGTCATCAGTATTTTGACTTTCTTCCTCTTCCTCATCTGTGTCTGTCTAAGTTTCATCTTCTATAATGTGATAACAAAAAGGAGTTTATAGAATTCATACGTCAACAAGAAATGGCTAATTTAAAGTAAAAGTAAACCCTAACCGGATGGCTTTTAGTTTGCTGCTGCTTCACCACTTTTTGGTCCTTTGAAGTCTCAGTGCTGCTGATCTGCTGCAGCCTCTTTGTAGCCACTTCCCGTCTACATGCACTCCAACAATGGCTGTGAGGCTTTTCACAGGGCAGGTTTTCTGATGACCATAGTCAACCATATCTGTGATATATGTGTTGAATTGGCCACATTGTAGTCCCCATTTGAAGCCCATAAAAATGCCGAAGAACATTTGAGAGACAGGGACACAGAATTCTCACCCTATAACAGGAAGTGCCTGAACAAGAACCTTAATGGCAGGATCAGCAGAGATTATTTTAAAGAAGTACAGCCAAATCTCATTTGTGGATCATTCTGCACTCCTGTGACCCACTTTCAGCTGACAGCCGTTTTCACTCAACCGGTCCAGGCTGGGGAAAGATCCCGACTTTAAAATCGGGATCCACCTCAGAGTCTGCAAGGGAGAATGTCACCAGCACACCAAGGATCACCAATATGGGTCCAAAAGTTTTAATAAAGGATCACATAGTTACAGCAAGGCAATGTTTCGGGAGTCTCGCAGGACCCCTTCATCAGGCATGTGACCTGATGAAGGGTTCCTGCGAGACTCTGAAACATTGTCTTGCTGTAACTATGTGATCGTTCATTAAAACTTTTGGACCCATATTGGTGATCCTCGGTGTGCTTGATTCTGTTTGGTTTCAGCCGACGGTCGCTGCAGCACCCACTTATACACACAGCCATTTTTAATGCAGGAACGTGTGCGTTTGGATTGTACACTTCCACCCCAGAGTCTGGGGTGGCACCTGGCTCAGCCTCCCAACGAGCCTCTGAGACCTTGAGACAGCCGCTCCCTACCCCTCCATAGCCCAGTGCTCCAGTGAGCGCACGGGGGGGGCGATGCCGCATCGGAGCGATGCCGTATCCACCTAGGTTATTGTTATAGATTGTTATTTAATGATAAAAGATGGAAGGAGCTCTTCGGAAAAAAAATGACACTGTTGTATAGTGTCAGGAACTTCATCATATAGACTTGTAAACTTCCTGACAGGTCCTCTTTTACTGAGGCATTATTAAAACCTCAGACAGCCAGGCAACTAGTATTTTAGAGGGAGCTAGAAGTCTGCAATGACAGACCCTTTTTATTGCTCTCAGTATTTGTCTCCTTTAAGATCTTAAATCCAGCCATTGAATAAAAAATCAGATAAAATGAGGATCATATTTTCTGTTAGATTCTTTCACTGTCTTTGTTCCTATGGGTGACAGATTTGTCTCACTTCCTGTCCCTGTGACACCCTGCATGTTAGGTTATGACAGAGTTTCACCAGAACAAGAAGTGAAGCTTTATTAATTATGCTTGCATTCTTTATAGAGAGAAACACAAGCTGGAGACACAAGCATCTTGTGAATATGTGGACCATGCGGAGGAGCCTCTAAAACATGAAGGTGACTGGTACTTGCATAATAAACACCTAACCCAGAATGTGAACATATCACATCACATGAAAGTGTGGATTCCCTGTATAAAGCACTGTCTTTACAGTCCTAAGCTGGGCATACATTTTTGTATACACCTGCTCCTTGAAAAACAAAACAGATTCCTACTTGCACACAAGCGACATGGATGCAATAATCTCCCTTGCTGTGCTATTGAATTCTCACAGTGGGGACTCCTCTCCCTGTCAGAATACACTGATCCGCACTGCGGTCCATTGGCAGCAGCAGCTGATCGAATACTGGTTTTGCAGCAGGACCGTTCAACAGAATTCAGTCTAACGATCAGCTTTCGTTGAACAGAGGATACATATAGATTGAAATTTGCCTGGTTCTTGATATGTATATATCCAGCTTTACTCTAAGTTAGGGTTGTAAATCTATAAGTAAAAGAGGAATAACCTACAACTAATCCATCTGCCCGGTCTGACTGTTTGAAAATAAAGTTTTTAAAGAGACTTTACCACAGCAGTCACTCAGCAAGGATGATAACAAGAGGCCTCATGCATGCAGTGGGTTGGCCCTTAGGAGTTATACAAATTATTATTATATACAGATTTATATATTTATTATTATTACAGGATTTATATATTATTATTATACAGGATTTATATAGAGCCAACAGTTTGCTCAGCACTTTACAATATAAACGGAGACAATACAGTTCAATACAAGAGGGTTAAGAGGGCCCTGATCCTGGGAGCTTACAATCTAAGAGGGAGGGGACAAATATCAAAATACCCTCATGAGAGGAGGAAGGTTGTATTTGTATGAAGAGCACACTAGGTAACACCCCCATGTGATGCTGAGCTTCCATAACTGACAGAAATATAAAGTCCAACAATAGAAGGGGGCAGACCATGGACAGTCAGGCTGGATATCCTCCAGCTAGGAAACGAGGCAGGCTCTGTCTGACTTGCTGCAAATTCTAATGAACATTGTGATAAGCCCACAGTGTGCAGTGAAATCAGAGTACATAATATCAGTCCAGGAGAGGAGCTGATACAACTGTACCAAACTGAAGGGAAGGCTGGAGTTCACATTTAAAGATAGGAGTCACTTTTAGCAGATTTCCTCTAGTTACAGCGGCGTGCATGTAGCTGAGACCTTGGAAACATCACCATTGTGGGTTCACCTTCATGTTCAAAGACTCTTATCAAGAAGTGTTGGAGGGATATATGGACTTCTCTTGTAGCTTGGCAACTGCTAGATAACTCTTAGAAATTATTATTTTTTTGCTAGTCCTTGAGATTAGTTGTCTTTCCAGGAACGATTTGTATACTACAAAAGGATGAATATAATGCAGATTTTTCATAATGGTTGTAGCAGTGGTTATACATCATCAGATTGTATGGATATAGAGAACAGCTTGGAACATGTCTACAATAAGGAACTTTTTATCAGTTACTGTAGACATGATCACAAATAGCAAAAGAAACAATTATTTACACCATGATTAGTGTAACGGAACCGACCCAGACTGCGCTTGAGTACTTCCGTTAGAATCAGGGGCGGACTGACCATTTGGAAACTCGGGCGCTGCCCGAGGGCCCGGGGTCAGTAGGGGGCCCCATGAGATGCCCCTGGTACCTTTTTCATAGGCTTTTTTGAGTTTGGGCAAGGACACAGGGGCCACATGATCCCCTATTGCCCAGGGGCCCCATGAGTTGTCAGTCCGCCCCTGATGGGAACCCCTCATAATGGGAACAGCGGGTGCGCAGACCCAGAAACTTAGATCAGGGATGGTGGGAACTTCTCATAATAGGCACAGCTGATGTGCAGACCCAGAAACCTAGATCAGGGATGGTAGCCACCCCTCATAATAAGCACAAAATGTGTGCAGGGCATGAAACTCAGCACAGGGAAAGTGGGAATCCCTCATAGTGGCTCAAATATGTGTCTTAGCCAAGGTTCAGTCAGGAACTTTCCCCCTCAGTGTACGTTCTGATGGGGGCAGACAGAATGGTGTCCTATGTTTATCATGCTGTGTCTTCTTGCCTGTGCAGTTGAAGTAACCTCACGGACCATGGAGCGGGACTGCAAGAATCCGGTATCACTGTATATCCTAAAAGACAAGGTGAGATTATTTATGGGAAATTAAATTGTGTGTATGGTGGAAGTTTGCATCCTTACATACTGGGCAGGAAGTCAGTCCGTGTCATGTTTCTAGATCTGAACCCTACCTCAGTTACCTTCAGCTCTGCAGATGGACTTGTAGTTTGAATACACTGTGGTCATGCTAGTCAGCACACACGTGGTTCATTCACAATGCCAACAGCTCAGGAACTGCCTGCCCATACAGACATACGGATAGAGAGCCATAGGCAGTGTGTGCAGGAGCCTGACATTTCTGATCTGTTGATCATGGGTGCAATGCCCTGCACACTCCTATAAAAAAATAATAAATGCACATTTTTTTGCTAGCAAAAATGTGTGCCTTTATTATTTTATTCCAGAAGGTGAACTTAGCTTTTAAAGGACAGGTTCACTTTAAAATTCAAACTCCAAGGCTCCCACATTCATAGCTATCTGACCTATTCGAATATATTCCCCCAACCAATCCAGGTGCCGACTACATCTTTATGTTGTGGTGATGTTTTCTCATAGTATATACAGCCTCACAGCAGACATCTTGTAGGTGCTACCTGTGCCTATGCACTAACTTCTTGAGATGTGAAGAAGCTGTACATATCATTGGGGTGAGGCTCCACGGATTGAGTGCTATTTGTGTCCCCAGTGGGAAGTTTACTTTTAATTTTTCATGCCAGTAACTTGGGATCAGAAGGACAAATGGGACATTTCCCAATAGGACAGAAATAGCTACAAAAATATTTAGTAGAGTAGAGAGAGTTAGAACAGGTGTCAGCAACCTTTTCCCATACACCTTCAGGTCTCAGAACAGCCTCAACTCCTGCACATTCAGACCTCAGGTCAAACCTCAATTTCCTGTACCTTTCAGACACCCCAAATTCCTGCACCTTTAGACCTCAGATCCCCAATTCCTGCACCTTTAGACCTCAGATCACCCCAATTCCTGCACCTTTAGACCTCAGATCACCCCAATTCCTGCACCTTTAGACCTCAGATCACCCCAATTCCTGCACCTTTAGACCTCAGATCACCCCAATTCCTGCACCTTTAGACCTCAGATCACCCCAATTCCTGCACCTATAGCGCAAAGATCAGCCTCAATTCCTGCACCTTTAGACCTCAGATCACCCCAATTCCTGCACCTATAGCACTCAGTTCAGCCTCAATTCCTGCACCTTTACACCTCAGATCAGCCTCAATTCTTGCATCTTTAGACCTCAGATCACCCCAATTCCTGCACCTTTAGACCTCAGATCACCCCAATTCCTACACCTATAGCGCTCAGATCATCCTCAATTCTTGCATCTTTAGACCTCAGATCACCCCAATTCCTTCACCTTTAGACCTCAGATCACC